TTACATCTAAAACGCCTCAAAAAACAGTTATAAACTGAAAAAAAAAATGACCAACGTGATTTTCGTCGAATTCATATCTTTTATTGATTGATTGATACTAAATATAGCAAAATATTTTTTCAACAAGGTATTCCGATGGGAGATTTAATTTTCTGCTAAAAAGTATTACTGTAAAAAACTCCTAAAGTGCATTATTTGTGAGTTATCGCGAAAAACTAAAAAATGAGCTACTTCGTTTGGATCTCAAGAACGCACCCCGATATTTAATAATACTTTGTGACTTCATCATTTTTGGTGTGTCGCAATTCTTTTTTATTTAATAGCCTATATGTCAAATTTACATTTTTACTATTTTATTTAGATAGTTCAGTTCCACAGAACTTCATTTAATTTTGGTGTATTTAGAAATCTAATTAGCAGTTGTACTGGCCCTTAATCACTTATTAATGGGTGGGGGGTTAAATTAGGAGCACTTTTGTATAAATAGCACAATCCCTCGAGTAATTATTCATAAGTTCCAAAGCGTTCCTTTGCAGTCTAGCAGTAAGTTAAATTTTAAATATTTGCTAAATAGAAACTTGTTTATAATACTGTGGTAAAGTAACATCTACAGTAGATACATGTGGTTTGTCAGATAAAGGCATTAAATGTGGTCACTTGTTTTTGTTTATAATCAATTGTAGATAGGTGTATAACGTCCAACTTATAATGTTAATATAACATAGGTGGTACTTATATGTTTTAAACAATTGAAGTTTACAAAATGATTCATGGAATTTGTGTCTGTTGTAGGTAAAAAGTTAGTTGGTTGTTGGCGATTCTTACGAAAAGGCGTTAATTTTTATTAATTTAAGGTGAGCAGACAGCGGTTTATTTTCTTACTTCACTGTTCTTTGGTGATCTAACTTATGATTAATTGAATTCATAAAGCTAGATTCAGCAAAGAATTGTGTGGGAGAAGTCAATCAAATACACTTCTGATATAAGTAATTGTTATGGTTCGTGGTTATTCAAAGGTTTAGATTTAAGGAACTATTGGTGTGATGTGTCTTCTATTCATATCACAATCATAGTTTCCTAAATGTAAACACTTGTTGAATTTCTTCAATATTATTAGTTGTTGTTAATCGTTTTACGAGAATCGGATTTGCAGTTGGATCAACTAAGCACAGTCTGATGCATTTGTACCATCACTGGGTTTAGTTTGTCCCATTGCATTTCTAAATTTCAACGATAAGTAATTAATTTTTGGATGCGGTTTCTTGAGGTGCAATTTTTGGAGGATTTCTGCAACAGTTATGTTGATTTTCTATAACATCACCGGGTGGAAATCATCCTAAGATTGTCAATACTAATCAACGTTAATATGACTCTGAATACCAACTTGCAATGTTTTCAAGATAATGAAGAGAAAATCAAAGTAACAACAATATACATACATATATTATATACAGCGATATTTCACCAAAATTCTGATAGTACTGCTAATATGTATTTGTTGTTTCTTCTTTAGGATTGTTGATGACTTAGGGTGTATATGGTTAGCACAACAAGAAAAATTAAATCAGTTGTGAAGGGTAAGTTCAATGCTAGTTTTTTTTAAACCAAAGCAATGTTGGGGTTGAAAGTGCTTTGTTTATTCGAAAACCACAACCGACGTTTCGCCTAGATTTTCTGAAGGCTAATTTTTTAGTTAAAAATATAATGCTAATGAATTCGCAATAAAAATTACTTCTATAAATAAGTAACTAAAACTTAAAATTATTATAACAAGTTGTAGAATTAAATACCACATGGTAACAATCATACACAAACGATATTTATTATTTAATTTTAATGTTGGTTTATTAATTTAGTTTATTTAAACAACAATTTTTAATTTTTCTTGATCTTAGAGCATGTACCATTTAACTAAAAAGACTAGCCTTGTGAAACGTCGGCTGTGGTTTTTAAACACTTTTAACCCTCATATTGCTTTGATTTTAAAAAACTGAATTTAAAATAAGGGAAGAATGATCAATAGATTGTGTCTATGAGTCTCAATTCAAAATAAGACAGTCTGTAATGTAACATAATAATTTTAATAAATTTAGAGAAACTGAGCAATTCGAATTTTGGAAATTAAAACAATACCTCTGCCAAGGGGACAAATAATGTTCAAGCTAGAAAAATTTCCAGTTACGGATTTTTTTCTCCGTGTACCACCACTGCATTTATTTTATTTGAAAGAGAAAGTAAAATTATCCTCTATGTCTATGCATTAAGTAAGTTTAAGTCTCCAATTTTTCTGTTTCAAATTGCAAAAAAATAAAGTAGGAAATTCCAATAGCCAAATAGCATTTGTACAAAGTTTAGTCTACGATTGTGTTTTGTTTTATTTGCGATGACAAAAAAAACAAAGTGAATATGATATGGTCTGACGCTACAGATAGATAATATTAAGCTTCTAATTTTGTATTATAAAAAAACTGCTGATTATTTATTTATGGATATTTAAGAAGTGTTAAAGTGGATTTCGGCAGTATATTCCTATGAACAGGACTATTCTGCAATTTAAATTACTGGAATAGTCTTGTTCATTGGTATTAGGGGAAGAATTACTACTAGGATGTATGACTATATCCCTATATTAAAAATCATCGTCTAATATCCGATGTGAATGATACCTACTGGTTATTAATTTCAATAAGTGAATGATAGTAATCCTTACCTTAATACATAGGCGCCAAACATATGTATAAGTGTGTACGTCTTCAAAACACAACACGCAAAGCTCACCGCATTGTTTTTTATAAATTATAACATCGCGAACTATTAATAACGTTGAACGTTTATGGTTTATGTGATATCTAATACGTACAAAGCATAGGTACAAAGGCACCACATTTCACAATGTTGTCTGCATCTGCGCTGTGCTTAAATCTAGTATAAAAATGATAACCTTACTGTAGGTAGGTATACGAGGGGCCGTTAAAAATTATAGCAAATTTTATCGGCGGGGATCAAATTAGATTTTCAAAAGAACAGAAAACTACACTACAGTGAAATCTAGGATTTTGTCGTTTCTCCCTATTCGGTTATTACCTATTCAATATAGATCTATTGACAATTGAAGTGTCTGTCTAAAATATCGAAATAAATAACCTGAACTTATTATTATGGAAGAAACTGTTGAACTTATTTTAATGACACTATCTAAATGTGAAAAGGAAGTTGTCAGGAGTGATCTTTCTGGGCTACTTTGTGGTTGTAGGTAACAATGGTATTTACTACAAAAAATAGAGATAGTTTCACAAGAGTAAAGTCGCGAAAAATGCCGGCCTTTGTTAAACGTGTTTGATAATAACAATGGGGTTGAATGCAATAAGAGAAGTTCAACGGGGTTACTCGAGCAATTTAAAGGAGTGAAAAGTGTTTTATTTATCAATAATCAACACAGACGTTTCGCTTTTGGTGTACAATATAATATACAAAAATGCACAATATAACTCGTTACTTGAAGCCCAATAAGTAGGTACTTACTAGATTATAAGGTCACTTGTATGTAGGGTTGCCACCTTTTCAGGCTATACATAAAGTATTTTTCTCGACCAGAAGGTTAAAAAAAAAGTACTCAGCATAAAAATAAAGTATTTTTTTGAAATATTCTCAATTTTTTACCCACTACACACTACCTCAAATTGATGAGGAAAAATTGTTGCTGTTGTCACACCCCCACCGGGAATCGAACCCGGGCTCTTTGGCTTTACGCGCTAATTCTTTGACCACTAAGCTACGAGAGAAATTGAGAATATTTCATATTAAAAAACTAACTCACTTCGGGAAGATTTCTACATTGTATGTATATTTTATTTTTTGTTTTAAAAAACATATTTTTTGTTACACCTAGAAGCCAGTAACAAATTGCTGTCGCTCTTAAACACACACATTAATACACAGGTAAAACAAAGATTTAAGTAAACTAATAGTTCATTTTTATTTAGTTTTAATGAAGCTTTATTCAGAGAATACCCTTTCTGTAAATGCTGAAGTGGCCGGAACGGACAGCAAAAGTGACACTACTTTGAACAGATTTGGGAAATCAGGTTGTTCCGTAAATATGGCCATTTTTCTGCAGTGCATGTTTTTTTGAAAGTGATGCTGCTGGTACAATTTTTTTCTCAAAAATACGATATTTACTTAAGGCCTTATATAAAGTATTTTTGTGTACTTTATGTGTCTTCTAAAATATAACGTATGCACAGTCGAAATAGAGTACAATACGGGTGGCAACCCTACTTGTATGATAACAACTTGAGTTGCAGAAAAGGAAAGTGCAAAAAACCATTGTAGATCATCCAAGCTTACATAAATACAGCGTGGGATTAAAATTACACCAAAATAAGGAGTTTTTTTTATATATCGTGAACAAGCATTCACTCCGAAATACACTTATTTTTTTCGTACAATTTTTTATTATATATATTCCTCTAATTTTCCAAATATAGTTTTTACGTATCTACTTATATAAAAAAGTTGCAAGACCTTATTAGAAGGTACTAATATTACAGCCATTACCAACGTTTTATTTAATTATTTAATAAACAATTTTACGATCCACATATTTAATCAATGTTTTGAAATTCACTTTCCATTTTACATTTAAAAATGTTATTTATTAAATAAAAAATGTATTACACGTCTTGGTCTACATTTTATTTATGCTTATAATGGTACCCAATAATAATACCATTAACTCTTAATCAGCTTAAACAAAGTCTTTAATTAGCCGATTGCATTTGTTCAGTTTTATTTGCTTATTATTTCTGGGGTTACATTTTGCAATCTAGCATCAACCCAATTACATAAATACTGCATTTTGATAAGCACGTAAAAATAATATTTTGATCCTATATCTAAATCCAATGCAGAACTATAAATATTACAGAGGTTTCCGTAATTTCAGAAACAATCCCCTAGTCGTTGTATTATACCAAATAGCATTTAATTATCTTATTTATAGGCAACGCACTTATTTAAGCAATAATTACAAATAAACAACATATATGTAAATTCGTTAACAATCTTATTTACTAAATATTTAAACGTCAACGAGATAAGAACTACGCGTTTCATAATATTAGGAACAGTACGAAATCATGGCTTTACGAGTGACACGACTTTTTTTAAAAACTTACGTTTCAACAAGACAATATTCCCAATTTTATCCCATCGATGAAGCGATTTTTGGATTGGAAGATTATCAAATAAAGGTTAGTAGTTAAGGGAATTGATTAATATCTAAATATTTCTGATGTTTACCAATAACTAATCAGATTTCTGAATATCTGCATTAGCTGAGAGAAACAGTATTCAATGTGGCTCAAAATGAATTGGCTCCAAAAGCTAAGCAAATTGATCAAGAGAATAAATTTCCTGAAATGCGACAATTCTGGAAAGAACTAGGAAAACTAGGAGCATTAGGTAAATGTAGCATAATAAATAATTATTTTTATTTAATTTCAAACTCATAAAATCTATACCTAGCATTAAAATTATTGCAATATTAATGTAGTAAGATATTTTTCGTAATTTTTTATGAGCCTGCTGATAAACGAATACTCTTTATTGGAAGGTATAACAGTTAATCCTGATTATGGGGGTGCCGGTGGGACTTACTTAGATCATGTAGTAATTATGGAGGAATTGTCTCGGGCGTGTGCCGCAGTGGCTTTGAGTTACGGAGCTCATTCGAACTTGTGCGTTAATCAAATTCACAGAAATGGAAACGAAGAGCAAAAAAAGAAATATTTGCCCAAGGTAAAATTAACTAGTATTTTACTCATCATCATAAGGTCGTCAGTCCTAAGACTGGACATGCACCTCCACTCTTTCCTATCCTGAGCTAAACTTCGCACTTCACTAAAACTAGAACAACCCACATCCTTAACTATTTGCGAACAGTAATCTAATCTAGGTCTACCTCTACCCCTCCTAACTCCTGTTTCTGCCTCTAATATGTCTCTGACTAGACCTTCATGCCTGAGAAGGTGTCCTACCAACCTATCTCGCCTATTTTTTATTGACTTCCATAGAGTCCTCTGTTCTCCTATTCTTTCCAATACCTCTTCATTTCTAACCTTTTCTACCCACGATATCCTCATCATCCGCCTATAACACCACATTTCGAACGCTTCTAACCTTTTCTTTTCCGCCGCTCCCACTGTCCATGTTTCGCACCCGTACAACGCCGTGCTCCAAACATACACCTTTAACAACCTTTTTCGAATTTCTAAATTAACCGTTCGCGAGCATAGAAGTGACTTCTTTTTATTAAAGGCGACACGACCCTGCGCTATCCTCTGCTTTATATCCCTACTACTCCTTCCATCCTCACTTATCTGACTTCCTAGGTATCTAAAATCAGCCACTTCTTCTAATTTTTCGTCTCCTATCTTTATATTCGCTCTTTCCCTACTTTTTCTTCCCTTGCATACCAGTATTTTAGTTTTACTTTTATTTATTTTCATACAGTACTGATCTGTCAGTACCGCTTCCATTTTATTTAAAGCTATCTCTAGGTCCTCCTTGCTAGATGCTAATACTGCTATATCATCTGCAAATCTAAGCATACTAATTTTTTGCCCCTGTATATCTATCCCTACAGTTGTACTGTCTTTAATGATGTTGATCGCGTCTTCGATGTATAGATTAAAAAGTAGCGGTGACAGTGTGCATCCCTGTCTGACTCCCTTCCTAATATTTACTTCTCTATGTTGCATCCCTAGCTCTAAAACTGCCTGTTGCTCTTTATACAAACTAAGTATCACTGTTCTATCTTTGTAACTCATCCCTACATTTTTAAGTATATTTAAGTATTTTACTGCACGGAGAAAATGTAATAGGAAAATTTACTAAATTTAAAGCGATATTTACAATTTATCTCATTTGCCCATTGCTTCGTAAGCGAACATAATATTTACAATTTGGACCCGAATTGGTAAAAATAAAATCCCAGTAGAAATAAATTTATTAGGTATTTTAGTTGAAATTAATAATTAAGAAACTTGAAATAATTTTTAAAATTGTATGGCATTGAAATGTTGTGTTTAAGAGCCCTGCGAGCCGAAGAATGAATTAATGTGAGTATTTTTTATACATATTTGAATAATCTGCTAGCAACAGGTACTCGTAAGTACAATTTAATTTACGATGAATAAATTGTGCAGAGCTATGAAGCTCAATATGTATTTTCAACAGTTTTAAAAGTTCTCCAGTTTCGATTCATCATATGCACGCGATTGGTGAAAATTATTATGCGAACTTTTTCTAAGACATGGTTAACAAGTTAATATAAAAATCAAGTCATTTAGAATTTGCTGATTTTTGATTTTTTTGGACCAAATTTTCGAAGCTATTAAAAAACTATTAGTTAAAGTACGCTTCACACCATTTCCTTGAACAGCCTTCATTTTTAACTGTGTAATGACATTATACTTTTTTTAGGAAATTATCTTATACAACAAATAAAAAAGCTAAAAACAAAAGGAAAAGATCTACACACAACTGCATTTTTTTTAAATGAATTTATCTCTTGTATCAAATAATTTCCTCTATTGTTTTGGTATATTTAATTTTTAATAATTTCAGTTAGGCACTTACATTTTTCAGCTCTGTTCTGGAGAATTCATCGGTGCATTAGCGATGTCCGAATCTTCTTCAGGATCCGATGTACTTTCTATGAGGCTGTCCGCTGAAAAACGAAAAGACGCTTATGTTCTAAATGGATCTAAATTTTGGATTACAAATGGAGAACAAGCAGATGTTTTGGTGGTAAGTTGAGCAAATAATAAAAACAATAGTTTTTAAGTGTCCCAATACAATAAGAAGGGATAAAATGTTTAACCACTAACTTAAGGATGTTTGGAAGGTATGTCAAAATGCTACGAGACAAATAACAATTTGGAAGAAAGTTCCTCATTCAATTCTAAAATTCCTGTAAAAATTACAAATCGATTCACTAAACCGTTAAAAAGTTATTGAATTTTTAACTGTATTTTGTTTATTGTGAGTGATATTGTACTAGAAATTTGTAATTCATGCATTTCTTAATAATAAAAACAATCAAATAATAAAAAATAGTTAAATTTAAACTTCCCAATTGCAATCATTAGTATAGTTCCAGTTACAGAATANCAGGTCAACCTAGTTTTCAAGAAAAACTAAATCAACCAAAAACAGCAACCTTCACTACTACGTGCTGTCTTTTCCTACCATAATCCTATGATCCTGAGCAATTAGGGCATTGTCCTGCAGGGTTAGGTTACAGTAGGAAAAGACAACACGAACATAGTGAGTTGTTGTTGCCGTATATTTGTATGGTTCACACTTTATAGCAATGTGAATCACAAAAAAGTCAACTAACCGACGTTTTTTCTTCAGCTACAGTCAAAATAAGTTTTTACTTATATGTATAAACATGAAAACATGAATAGGGGTGTTAATAATTCTGACTTTTTAAGAAATACGCTACTAATTTGAATTTTACTCCTTTCGGTTCGAGACGCCTAAAAACCCTGAGCGATTATGAAAGTTCCAGTTTTCGATTTTTAACTAAATAGTCTTCATAGTACAGCAGGGCCCACATGTAATTAGAATTTATTGTAATATCAGATAGTAAAGGGCCTAGCCGTATTTCCATAACGAAGCGGCCCCCGATAGGAACCTGCCCCGCAGTGTAGATGCAGAACCTATCACCCCTCTATCTTGGTTAGTCGTGAAGAGATAAAAAAAATTCCCGTTAGCGACTGTTTCCAAAGCTTCTTCTAACTTGGTATTCTCTGCTATTAGGCACATAATAGCAAATATATATTTTTTTCATGTTGTCCTTTTATTAAGTCTGATAGAAATCTGATATTTTTCTAATATTTTTGTTTAGGCTGTTGTAAAATAAATTGTAGAATGTACTATAATACTTTCTTTTCGCTTTATTTTCCAACTTTTCTTTTTTAATATCTCCACGACTAAGATGTTCTTAAAGAGGGCTATTTCGCTTTGGAGGTTCGGATAGTCTAAATCAGCAGTAATAAATTACAAGAACGACAACTATTTGAACTCATTAACAAATTAATCACGCTCAGCATAATTCAGTTGTTTCTTATATTTATATGTACATGTGTTAAGTTATTTATTGTTATTATTACAGGGAAAATTAGCCGACATGTTCCTAAGTTTAGCTGTATGTCGAAGCTATTTGTACAATGTTGCCCGTGCTGTTGATAAGAAATATCACGCAAACTGAAGGTTCGACTTGCAGGTATACGCTAAAACAAATAAACAAGTCCCAGGAAAAGATGGAATTTCGGCTTTTATAATAGAAAAAGATTTTCCCGGTTTTAAAGTAGCTCAGACATTAGATAAGCTTGGAATGAGAGGATCTAGTACATGTGAATTAGTTTTCGAAGATTGTCAAGTGCCGGTAAAGAATTTGCTAGGGGAGGAAAATAAGGGGGTTAAAATATTGATGAGTGGCTTGAATTTAGAAAGATTGGTGCTAGCAGCAGGACCTGTTGGTATAATGCAGGCTTGCTGTGATGTGGCGTTCCAGTACGCTCACGAAAGGAAGCAATTTGGGCAAAGAATAGGCGAATTTCAATTCATACAGGTAAACAAATATGATGGGTTTCATTGTCATTAATCGTAGCTATTTTTTCTTCTATCAAACCAGGTAATTTATTTTTTTTTTTTAATAAAATTTAGTGAAAAAATTAGTGAAGGGCGTTGAAACTTTTCTTGCAATTTGACGGTCATACATTCAGTAGTATAGAACAGGGTTGTCCAACTGGCGGTCGGTACCCAAATTATTTTTACGGCCCGCGAGTACATTTTACTATGAATAAATTTATGTTACTAAATTAATATTATTGATATTGTTGTTAAACAATTACAGCCACAATCTTATCATTAATAAATTACGAATATTTTAGGGTTTTATCTTTAGTATAAATAAAAAATTTTTTTAATTTACATAAACTGACTACATTTATAAATTTTCTTGGCCCCCGAAATGTTAGGTGACGAAAATATGGCCCGCGGGCTATGATAAGTTGGACAGCGCTGGTATACAAGAAAATCATGAAATATAAGTTGGTAAAGAAATGTAAGCTTTTATATTGCTCATGAACTATTAAACTATGAATATGAAGCAAACATACATGATTTAAAAAGGGTCAGAAAGTTGCAAATAATTTAGCCCGAAAACTGCTGACCAAGATGTTGTGCAGCGGTGGTTCGTAAAATTTTTATGGGGTAGCTAAGTCCCTCAAATATTGAAGAACACGGTAGTCAACTATCAGAAATCGAATCTAACTGTAAGTCATATCCCAATTCGTTTTAAGTGGTAAACGACTGAATAGTTAACGTAGAGTTCTTAATTTTCGTGTAATTTTAAACGAGTGATATTTAAAATTTAATGCCTTCGATTGATGGTTATCAATTTCTGATGGTTGATTTCATCTTTGACCTCCGGGGTTGTCATTTTAACCCCGAAACTTAACAAACCCCCGCTACATCAAAGTTTTCGTTTGAAACTTTTAAATCTTTTATGAACTCGAACAAAAAAGGGCTGCAATTCAGAAAAAGCTGAACCCCCTCATGGACTTCAATTTTTTTTACCAGATATTGCATTATTTCCGCAAGTAAGTTTTTTGGCGACTCGAACAAGATGGGGTGAAATTCGTGCTGGTTTAAAATTCATAACAATGGTGTATTTTCTAAAAGAGTAAGTTATGCGTTCAAATTATCTACGTCTAATATTATTATTGACACCCCCCTCCACCACACTCCCTTTCCTGTCATCACGTTTATATAACTCTGGATGTAATTAATAACGTGAACAGGTCAACCTAGTTTTCAAGAAAAACTAAATCAACCAAAAACAGCAACCTTCACTACTACGTGCTGTCTTTTCCTACCATAATCCTATGATCCTGAGCAATTAGGGCATTGTCCTGCAGGGTTAGGTTACAGTAGGAAAAGACAACACGAACATAGTGAGTTGTTGTTGCCGTATATTTGTATGGTTCACACTTTATAGCAATGTGAATCACAAAAAAGTCAACTAACCGACGTTTTTTCTTCAGCTACAGTCAAAATAAGTTTTTACTTATATGTATAAACATGAAAACATGAATAGGGGTGTTAATAATTCTGACTTTTTAAGAAATACGCTACTAATTTGAATTTTACTCCTTTCGGTTCGAGACGCCTAAAAACCCTGAGCGATTATGAAAGTTCCAGTTTTCGATTTTTAACTAAATAGTCTTCATAGTACAGCAGGGCCCACATGTAATTAGAATTTATTGTAATATCAGATAGTAAAGGGCCTAGCCGTATTTCCATAACGAAGCGGCCCCCGATAGGAACCTGCCCCGCAGTGTAGATGCAGAACCTATCACCCCTCTATCTTGGTTAGTCGTGAAGAGATAAAAAAAATTCCCGTTAGCGACTGTTTCCAAAGCTTCTTCTAACTTGGTATTCTCTGCTATTAGGCACATAATAGCAAATATATATTTTTTTCATGTTGTCCTTTTATTAAGTCTGATAGAAATCTGATATTTTTCTAATATTTTTGTTTAGGCTGTTGTAAAATAAATTGTAGAATGTACTATAATACTTTCTTTTCGCTTTATTTTCCAACTTTTCTTTTTTAATATCTCCACGACTAAGATGTTCTTAAAGAGGGCTATTTCGCTTTGGAGGTTCGGATAGTCTAAATCAGCAGTAATAAATTACAAGAACGACAACTATTTGAACTCATTAACAAATTAATCACGCTCAGCATAATTCAGTTGTTTCTTATATTTATATGTACATGTGTTAAGTTATTTATTGTTATTATTACAGGGAAAATTAGCCGACATGTTCCTAAGTTTAGCTGTATGTCGAAGCTATTTGTACAATGTTGCCCGTGCTGTTGATAAGAAATATCACGCAAGTGGAAAAGACTGTGCAGGTGTTATATTATATTCTGCCGAAAAGGCAACTAAAGTAGCTCTAGAAGCTATTCAAATATTGGGTAAGTATACATATACGAGTACAAATTTTAATTATTTTACTTAAATTTACTACTTCATGGAATAGGCATACAGTTACTTTAGTAATTTTATAACTTCTTCAAGAAATTTTTGCCCACGTTCTTGTAAATAAATGGTAGGACATGACATGTTGTCCTATTAGGATTTTTTCTAAACTTTTTAATTGAATTTGAAAGTTATAGACTAACGGTTATAAAATGACGGTCTTTAGAAACCATTCTCCATTTTGTTCCCATAATATATTTTATCTGTTTTTTTAAAATAAAAATGGTACCTAATCACTACCTGAGTTTGAAAGAGATGCAATGAGAGAATTTGTGTTTTATTTTTCATAATTTGACTTTTGTAGGAGGAAATGGATATATAAACGACTATCCAACTGGTCGCTATCTAAGGGACGCTAAATTATATGAAATTGGAGCAGGAACATCGGAAGTAAGACGTTTAATAATTGGAAGAGCACTAAACGCAGAATATAGTTAATAGTTTTTACTTTTTTTATATAAAAAGACAATGATGATGAAATATTTTTTTTAATAAATAATTGTTATAAAAAAAGAACAAATAATAATCAGTAAATTGTTAAAATAAACGTAATGGAAATAACTATAGTGGTGGAGAACTACGTTCCAATAAGTACCTATGTTTTGCATAATTTTCATTTAAAGGTAACAACCAATTTAGCCAGAAAATAAAAAAATGTCAGTAATAATTTTTACCTGTGAATATCACTGAACTTTAATTAGGTATATTTTGAAATTTGCGATGTAATACAAACTTTGCTCACCGGTCTTTATATATTTACTTGATGTGATAAACATAAGAAATGGGAAGTATAACAAATAGGTAGCTGTCGTACTAATTAATGATCTTAGAATTAGTTATACTGTGAACGTGTGAACATACTTATAAATATGTTAAATAGATTTCAATAGTGTTAATTTGATATAAATTAAACAATGAGTATGGATACTATTTTTCATAAAAGTGGGGTTAGAAATTAATGTACATACCTCAGAGGCTCATTTTCAGAAGAACATGATTCCAGCAACTGGGACCATTTATATTTTAGTATATTAATAATTAAAAGGTTTTTTAAATTACCGATTTTGAATTAAAACTTCCCGCACATTTAATCCTATTATTTTTGTAAGCGCATATATAGACACCATAGATAAACAAACACTAAAATATTTTCCATAAATTATCCATGTCATGTCTATCATACACAAGATGTCTATGTCCATAACCACGTATGTCAAATAAAAGTTAATTTCATAAAGTTGCGGAAAACATATACAATATCCAACAAGACCATAATTATTTGTAAAAACAGTAAGGTTCTATTTGTAACAGTGGAATTGTGGCATTTTAAAATTAGTAAATATACAAGAGTATAGATAACTATACTTGCTGCGTTCTTGTTTCTTGTATACTTTTAACAAACGTTAACCTAGAAAGAGGCAATAAAACCAAACAAAAGCTTTTAGTAAAACATAAAGTAATCATGAAGATGAAACTAGTGGATCAGGTAGTGAGGAGCTTCAGAGTCGCAAAGGTATTTCGAGAAAATACCGATAAAATTAACGCAATTGACTTCTCATCAAATGGTGAGACATTAATATCGTGCAGTGAAGATGATCAAATTGTGATTTACGATTGTGAGAAAGGAACTCAAGTAAGGACAGTTAACAGTAAAAAATATGGTGTTGATTTAATACATTTTACTCATGCTAAGAACACAGCAATTCATAGCTCAACAAAAGTTGATGATACAATCAGATACTTGTCATTGCATGACAACAAATACATACGTTACTTTCCTGGACATACTAAGAAAGTTGTTTCTTTGTGTTTATCTCCTGTAGAAGATACTTTTTTGTCTGGATCATTGGACAAAACTTTGCGATTATGGGATCTTAAAAGCCCCAATTGTCAAGGATTAATGCATCTGTCTGGTAGACCTGTAGCTGCTTTTGATCCAGAAGGTCTTATATTTGCTGCTGGGGTTAATTCAGAAAGTATAAAATTATATGATCTGCGTTCTTTTGACAAAGGACCATTTATAACATTCAAGCTAACACAAGAGAAAGAATGTGACTGGACAGGTTTAAAGTTTTCAAGAGATGGGAAAACCATTTTGATAAGTACAAATGGATCTATCATACGTCTCATAGATGCATTTCATGGAACTCCATTGCAAACATTTACTGGACATTTAAATAATAAAGGTATCCCTATAGAAGCTTCTTTCAGTCCAGATTCACAATTTATATTTAGTGGATCAACAGATGGACGTGTCCATGTATGGAATGCTGATACAGGATACAAAGTATGTGTTTTAAATGCAGACCATCCTGGACCAGTCCAGTGTGTACAGTTTAATCCAAAATATATGATGCTTGCTTCAGCTTGCACTAATATGGCATTTTGGTTACCTACTATTGATGATACATAGATTAGTTGCTGAATATAAGCATGCTTCTGAATTATTTTTGAAATTCTCAGAACTATTGTTAATGCAAGTAATTGTAGATAGTAATTATTACAAAAGTCGAAACAAAAGGCCGTAACCTTAATGCATGGGTGATCTACCTACACATAATATTTTTCAATAAGTTACTGTCACTGGTATTCCAAAAAATAGATCGATAGTTGCACTTGTTAATGAGCAAAAAAAACAATACTTTATGTTTAAATAATTTGTTTAGGANAAGTAGGCATTCAGACAGTCAGCACCATCACTCAGGGGACTAAACATGAAATGTGCACTATTCTTTTCATGGTTCTTTATTTCTTCAGTATGGCATCTAGTATTTGGTGGGTGGTGTTAACACTCACTTGGTTTCTAGCTGCTGGTCTAAAGTGGGGTCATGAAGCAATTGAGGCAAATTCTCAATATTTTCACTTAGCAGCCTGGGCTGTGCCAGCTATCAAGACAATTACCATTTTGGCAATGGGCAAAGTTGAAGGTTTGTGTCCTTTTGGCTTTAAGTTTTATTTTTTATATGTACATTACATATTCATGAATAATAATTGCATAACGATTATATAAAGTATTACAATAACGTTTTTCTTATCCATAAACCAGTGCTACTTTCGGTATAAAATTTTCAAAAGTGATAGTGATAGTAACTTGCACAAAAAATATAAAACCTACATATATAACTGCAGGGGTAATCCACCCATATTTATTCGATACGGCCTCTAACTTATGTGAACATCTATTAAGTAATTTATTTTTCATGTATTTGGAAATATAAGTAATTATAGTTATTGTAGTAGTGTTTTTAATTTTCTTAATTATTAGTAATGATCTATGGCCAATTGGTGAATGTCATTATGACAAACATATTTTAAATGTATTATTAAGTAAAAAGTGTATGATGTATAGATCACTAAACATATTTTGTGTTCGTATTTTTGATATTTGCTTTTTATTGTATAAGCAACCTCATGTAAATGTAAATTACTATTAATTAAACATTTTAATATTTTAAGGAAACAAGTTAATATGTTAGAATACTTTGCATTCGTTTTTTTAATTGTCCACTACAGAGACAAGAATAAAATCGATCATGAAATGCAATTATATTTCTATCTAACTGTTAATTTTAGTGCGTAAATAAAATGTTTCTAATATGTGTATTGTTTTTTTTTTTGTTTTGCGTCTATATCTATCCATAAACTTTTAAAACTATAAATACATTTATTTTCTGGAAATTTTTGCCTGAAGAAGGTCGAATTCTTGGAAACAAACATTTTGTATGGTTTTGAATAAATCTATCAAGTGAGATTCGGGTAGCTAGGCATCTGGAAACTCTACCTTAATTAATAGATACGTGGTATTACAATTGTAACTGAAAAAAAGTATAAGTACTTCCGTTTATTAATTTCGCGTTTACATTGGTAATGGTTTTGATTTTAATAAGCTCTTCTTTAATACCATATTATTAAATCTTTTTAAAATGTTGTGTTTGTTTATTTAAATGTAATTTAATGAAAATCAAAAACAATCAAATCTTTGTAAAATGTTGTACTGGATTATTTAAATGTAATTTAATAAGAATTGACTTAAAAGTTAGACTGATGTTGAACACTTGCGTATAGTATGTTGCCTAACTGCAGAAGAAACTCCCAGTTTATTAATAAAATTAAAATTTTTACTCTTTAAAGTTATTATGATCTAATTTTAATAAAAAGTTATTAACATAATAGGTAATATTGTAATATTTTAAATAGAAAATGTGGTAAAGGAAAAAGCATATGAAATGTAGAAGTTACAACTTTCTATTCTACATCAATCTCTGTGGTTTTTATCATAGAAATAAGGATTAAGGGTTTTTATGTTATTACTGCTATGGCTTTGTAAACATTTGTTGAAATTTTAAGGAAATATTCAACTTTTCCGGAAGAGAGTACAGTGAAATTTATAGTAGTATACACATTTATAATGACGTAGTATTTACAATGATTTTTGTGGCATTATTATTCGTGTTGTGGTTTGATTGTGGTACTGTGTTTAGCCATGGGGTTATTAGTAGGGTGTCTGATAGAGACGATCTTATTCCGCACCATGATAAATGTCAACAGATTACCGTGCCTTTTTGTATGGACATTCAATATAACACGACCATTATGCCCAATTTACTAAACCATCAAAAGCAGGACGATGCCGGACTGGAAGTGCACCAATTTTTTCCTCTTGTAAAAGTGCGTTGCAGTCCAGACTTGCAGTTCTTTTTGTGCTCTGTTTACGTCCCAGTTTGTACAATCTTAGAAAGACCCATTCCACCTTGTCGTTCTTTATGTTTAAATGCAAAATCTGGCTGTGAATCCATCATGGAAAAATTTGGTTTTAAGTGGCCAGAAAATTTGGATTGTGCTCAGTATCCAGAAGGACAAGATATAGATGGTATGATGTGTGTGGGAGAAAACAAAACAGCTCCTGCCTCTTCCACTTATTCACCCTTGGATAGCTATTCTTTAGGACCAATAAGTTTTCATCCAGACACTCCTTTTCAAGATATATATAATGGTAGAGATTATGGATTTGTTTGTCCAGTGCAGTTTAAGGTTCCAAAGATGTTAGAATATTCACTGAAAGTAGGAGATAAAGTAGAAAAAGATTGTGGGGCTCCGTGCAATATGATGTTCTTCAATGAAAATGAGCGCAAGTTTTCACAGGTATGGGTTGGGACATGGGCTGTCATTTGCTCAATTAGCTGTTTGTTCACTGTATTAACTTTTCTAATTGATACTAATAGATTCAGGTAAGCAAGCATTTATTAATTAATAATGCCACTATTATAAGAAAAACTTTTTTCAGATATCCAGAACGACCAATTATTTTCTTATCTGTTTGTTATTTGATGGTTGCTCTGACGTACGTTGTGGGATTTTTAGCAGGTGATAGCATTGCATGCAGGGAACCATTTCCTGCTCAAGTAGGCATTCAGACAGTCAGCACCATCACTCAGGGGACTAAACATGAAATGTGCACTATTCTTTTCATGGTTCTTTATTTCTTCAGTATGGCATCTAGTATTTGGTGGGTGGTGTTAACACTCACTTGGTTTCTAGCTGCTGGTCTAAAGTGGGGTCATGAAGCAATTGAGGCAAATTCTCAATATTTTCACTTAGCAGCCTGGGCTGTGCCAGCTATCAAGACAATTACCATTTTGGCAATGGGCAAAGTTGAAGGTTTGTGTCCTTTTGGCTTTAAGTTTTATTTTTTATATGTACATTACATATTTATGTAATATTTAATTTTTTATTATTTCAGGAGATATTTTAAGTGGTGTTTGCTATGTTGGTATATGGAATGTGGAAGCTCTTAGAGGTTTTGTTTTATCACCTTTGTGTGGCTATCTTGTTTTGGGGACAATATTTCTCATGGCTGGATTTGTGTCATTATTTCGCATCCGGACAGTAATGAAACATGATGGCACTAAGACTGATAAACTTGAAAAACTGATGATAAGAATTGGGATATTCTCAGTGCTTTATACGGTGCCAGCTCTCATAGTTATTGGATGTCTTTTCTATGAACATACATATTTTGATTCATGGATGCGTACATGGAATAAGTAAGCAATACATTTCTCAAATAAGACATTGTTTCCTACTTTTTCTTATTTAGTTTTGACTGAAGGAATCATTTGAAGTAACACTTTTATGATTAAATATCTCATGAACATGATCGTGGGAATTGCATCCAGTGTTTGGATTTGGTCTGGCAAAACGGTACACAGTTGGAAAATGTTCTTGCACAAGTTGAGGGGACAACATGCTGAAGCATATGTTTGACAATGAGTATTTGAAATCGTACCTGGTACATTATATGGTTGCTTAGCCTTTTAGAAGGCATGTACTACTACGTCTAATAAATAATTCTTAAATTAGCGCAGAAAAAACGCTAATACAAGTGCTTTTGAAAGATTAACATTTTTATATTAAATTTACACATTTGCACAATATACAATTTAATTTTGAGTTATTATTCAAAACTTAATCTTGTTGCTGTATGCTGGAACAATGTTATACCTGTTTAAGAGAATAGTCACTAGGGGACTAATTATATTTATTTTGTTTACCATTACCGTTTTTTTATTCTTAAAAGCCAATTTGGAAACTACTTTTTTGTTTGATATTGTTAAAACTAGTAAATTTTAAAAGTAAAGGAGAAACAATCTTACTTTTAACTGATTCAGTTACTTGTTTTATGTATTTAGCAAACAGTTCAAGTTTTGAATAATTATTTAGAAAACGTGAATACTCGCAACAAAGGTCACTCATAGCCGTTATTTACCGTCCGTAAAAGTATTTTTAACCATTTACATTAGAAGACCTTTTCAATGGTTTTACAAACAATAAAAATAAAAGATAANATTAATATATATTTACATAACTTTCTTTCATTTAGACTCATGCATATTTAACTGTGCCTTTTTCTTTTCTGTTTTTGAACACTCTGTATAGTAAATCAAACTTAGATGCTACATACTATCTTGTATTAAAACAGGAAACAAGTTTTATTTAAAAAGTGTATCTAATTTTATTTATTTTGTTTACCATTACCGTTTTTTTATTCTTAAAAGCCAATTTGGAAACTACTTTTTTGTTTGATATTGTTAAAACTAGTAAATTTTAAAAGTAAAGGAGAAACAATCTTACTTTTAACTGATTCAGTTACTTGTTTTATGTATTTAGCAAACAGTTCAAGTTTTGAATAATTATTTAGAAAACGTGAATACTCGCAACAAAGGTCACTCATAGCCGTTATTTACCGTCCGTAAAAGTATTTTTAACCATTTACATTAGAAGACCTTTTCAATGGTTTTACAAACAATAAAAATAAAAGATAAAAATTCAGTAAGAACATGTCCAAATTTTGTTTAAACAATGTAACGTGTGCAGTTTTATAAACTGTAACACAAATTAAAACAAGATAAAGGCTCGTATCTATCTACAGTTATTTTTCAATTTTTAATTATTTGAAGTTCTTGCATACTTTCAAAATGCTAGGCATCAATCTCTGTGGTTTTTATCATAGAAATAAGGATTAAGGGTTTTTATGTTATTACTGCTATGGCTTTGTAAACATTTGTTGAAATTTTAAGGAAATATTCAACTTTTCCGGAAGAGAGTACAGTGAAATTTATAGTAGTATACACATTTATAATGACGTAGTATTTACAATGATTTTTGTGGCATTATTATTCGTGTTGTGGTTTGATTGTGGTACTGTGTTTAGCCATGGGGTTATTAGTAGGGTGTCTGATAGAGACGATCTTATTCCGCACCATGATAAATGTCAACAGATTACCGTGCCTTTTTGTATGGACATTCAATATAACACGACCATTATGCCCAATTTACTAAACCATCAAAAGCAGGACGATGCCGGACTGGAAGTGCACCAATTTTTTCCTCTTGTAAAAGTGCGTTGCAGTCCAGACTTGCAGTTCTTTTTGTGCTCTGTTTACGTCCCAGTTTGTACAATCTTAGAAAGACCCATTCCACCTTGTCGTTCTTTATGTTTAAATGCAAAATCTGGCTGTGAATCCATCATGGAAAAATTTGGTTTTAAGTGGCCAGAAAATTTGGATTGTGCTCAGTATCCAGAAGGACAAGATATAGATGGTATGATGTGTGTGGGAGAAAACAAAACAGCTCCTGCCTCTTCCACTTATTCACCCTTGGATAGCTATTCTTTAGGACCAATAAGTTTTCATCCAGACACTCCTTTTCAAGATATATATAATGGTAGAGATTATGGATTTGTTTGTCCAGTGCAGTTTAAGGTTCCAAAGATGTTAGAATATTCACTGAAAGTAGGAGATAAAGTAGAAAAAGATTGTGGGGCTCCGTGCAATATGATGTTCTTCAATGAAAATGAGCGCAAGTTTTCACAGGTATGGGTTGGGACATGGGCTGTCATTTGCTCAATTAGCTGTTTGTTCACTGTATTAACTTTTCTAATTGATACTAATAGATTCAGGTAAGCAAGCATTTATTAATTAATAATGCCACTATTATAAGAAAAACTTTTTTCAGATATCCAGAACGACCAATTATTTTCTTATCTGTTTGTTATTTGATGGTTGCTCTGACGTACGTTGTGGGATTTTTAGCAGGTGATAGCATTGCATGCAGGGAACCATTTCCTGCTCAAGTAGGCATTCAGACAGTCAGCACCATCACTCAGGGGACTAAACATGAAATGTGCACTATTCTTTTCATGGTTCTTTATTTCTTCAGTATGGCATCTAGTATTTGGTGGGTGGTGTTAACACTCACTTGGTTTCTAGCTGCTGGTCTAAAGTGGGGTCATGAAGCAATTGAGGCAAATTCTCAATATTTTCACTTAGCAGCCTGGGCTGTGCCAGCTATCAAGACAATTACCATTTTGGCAATGGGCAAAGTTGAAGGTTTGTGTCCTTTTGGCTTTAAGTTTTATTTTTTATATGTACATTACATATTTATGTAATATTTAATTTTTTATTATTTCAGGAGATATTTTAAGTGGTGTTTGCTATGTTGGTATATGGAATGTGGAAGCTCTTAGAGGTTTTGTTTTATCACCTTTGTGTGGCTATCTTGTTTTGGGGACAATATTTCTCATGGCTGGATTTGTGTCATTATTTCGCATCCGGACAGAAATGAAACATGATGGCACTAAGACTGATAAACTTGAAAAACTGATGATAAGAATTGGGATATTCTCAGTGCTTTATACGGTGCCAGCTCTCATAGTTATTGGATGTCTTTTCTATGAACATACATATTTTGATTCATGGATGCGTACATGGAATAAGTAAGCAATACATTTCTCAAATAAGACATTGTTTCCTACTTTTTCTTATTTAGTTTTGACTGAAGGAATCATTTGAAGTAACACTTTTATGATTAAATATTTTTTTTTTGGATAATGAAGTTTTGTTTC